CAAAAGAAAATCACAGAAGATCCTGAAACAAAACAATAGAGAGACTCGGGGTTTTAATAGAGACAAATTCTATAGTCCTGGTACTCAGAAAGGCAAAGCAGGAGAATCACAGGGAGTTCAAGGTCAGCCTGGGATACTTAGTGAACTCAAAGGCCAGCCTGAACTGCACAGAATACACAGAACAAGGCTAACAAAAACCCAGAAAAATATGCAGGGCATGGTGGCCCACGCCTCGAGTCCAGTACTCGGGAGGCAAAGGCAGGAGCACTGCTGTGAGTTTGAGGCCAGTTTACACCACATGGTGAGACTCTGGCTCAAATAACAAATAAAATAAAATGAAGCCAGGCACAGTGGTACATACCTGTCATCCTAGCACTCAGGAGACTGAGGCAGGAGGATCACAGTGAGTTCGAGGCCAGCCTGGGCTATATAGCAAGACCCTGACTCAACAAAACCAAAATAATTAATTAAATACATCTATAACAAAGTTGGTATAGAACTACTGTAGTGAGAGATATCACAAATAAGGATGTAAAAAAAAGATGAATTGGGGCACCATAAAGAGTAAAACACTTTACAGGCTGAGGATTTAGCTCAGCAGCACAGTGCCTGCCTAGCAAGTGTGAGGGCCTCGGTTCAATCTCTGTATGCCCCCCCAAAAAAACTCAAGAGTAAAACACTTGCAAAATAATACTATGATCTTTATCTCAACATATTTGGCAGTAAACTGATTGCCTAGAAATAGCTAATCAATTTTATAAGGCAAACAAGAAATCTAAATTGCAAACATAATAAAAATAGAATTAAAAATCTGGAAGCACTCAAAATTAGTACAGCATCCACACAAGCAATTTTGATCAAACATTCAAGAAAACGTAGGCTAGAGAGAGAGAAAGAAGGAAAGAAAGAAAGAAAGAAAAGAAGAAGAAAGAAAGAAAGAAGGAAAGGAAGAAAAAGAAAGAAAGAAAGAAAAGAAAGAAAAAGAAAGAAAAGAAACAAGAAAAAAAGTCTTTCATGGTCTCTGTGTGTTTTATTTCTTAACAGAAAAGCAGACACAGGTATGTTAAATGTTAGAACCCCGCAGAGGGCCCACAGTTACTCTCTGTCCTGAGCTGTGGGCTGGAACTGTTCCCCAGTCTCCTACCGCCAACACGGTGGTTGCGATTCGCGCACCACACACCTGTCCCAGGCCCACAGAATGACTTCATACCTCAGATTTCAAACATGAAGTCTGCTTTTCACAGTGGGAACCTCTTTCCAACAGTAAAAATATGAATTTTTACAGATGGAAACTTCTCTCAAAGTAAAACCTCTCCAGGGCCTGGCTCCAGAAAAAATGCCCTTAATTTGCCTGACAGAGGAAAAGCCCAGAGACTTTTCTAACAACAGCAGAAAACCATTAAAACCCTGAAGTGAGGGCAGAGAAAGGGCGGCTCGGCCTGATTACTGCTCCCTTCCCGGGGCTTGTCCCTGTCTGTCCCCTCCCCTGGCGCAGCGGAGGCACAAGATGAA